TTAAGCTGTAATCCCATAGAAACCCATGTTTGAGCCTCCCATGTTAATCCTATGAGAGCTTTCCCATGTTAAAGTATAGCCATAGGATTAACATGGAATCCCATGTTATTTCCCATAGTGTGGGGGGAGGGGGAAGGGGGAGGGGGTAGCCAAACGATCCTATAAACCACATTATTCATATCAGAATAGATGTTAAAAACGACGAGAATTCATTAAAAGTTTAGGTTATGATTTAGTAAAACCTTTAGCTATACAACGACTCAATGAACCGAATCTTCGGAGAGACTTACGCCAAGTAATTGGAAAGGTCTTTAGTGTTGAAAGTGATCCGGACAGTGATCACGAAGCAAAACCTGTTTCAAGAAAAAGAGTGAAAAGGCCTGGAAACAACTCGTACTGCGATTTATGTCCGCGTGAGGCCGAGAAGATATGCACAATTAGATGTGATGGGTGCGAAAGATTTATTTGTTAAGATAAACATTTAGTTTATTATTGTATTGAATGTAAAACCGAAGATTATAATGATAGCGAATAAACAATTATTATTAGTATTTTAAATAAAATTTTTTAATTTAAAATATCTTTATGTTTTTTTAGTTTGTTATTATAATAACTCCATATTCCTATTTAAATAAATATTTTTAATAAATATTTATAGACACTTTTTTTATGTAATATGTTAATTAAGACATCCATGGGAAAAACCATGACAACTTCATTCCATAGTACTATACGAAACTCAACACTTAATGTTTTATAACAATGTGAGATTATTTTCTAAGAAAGCTATGCATGTAATAAGTAGTTACTGCGCAATCTCTATATCGTACACATTCAGACCACTGCATACACTTATACAAAACTTGGAGTTATCTTATAAGTGATGCCATCTCTGCCCTCCTATAAATTAGCTCCTCGGCGACTCCGAGACTTTTTACTAGAGAAATGTTAGGATCAGATGTAAGTCATTTAAATGTTAAATTCCCGAGGCGCATAACATTATTTGCCGATTAGATAATAATTCATTCAATAGTCAAACGAATAGAGGATCGCTAACATGAATTTATTATGGCAAAATAAGTCATGTTCAGGCAAATTGTCGTGCTAGTTTCTCTGGCAATCGTTTCAAGAATTGCAAATAAATATATACACAATGATTAAATATAATTAATATTTTTAATATTTTGTACTAGCCTACTACCCATCCTGTAACCTTTATATTTTGAGCAATTACATGACCCTGTTTTTTGCATATCAAATTTGACTAAATTTAACTTAACCTAACCGAATATACCTTAACCATTATAAAGTGGTATTTAAAATTGCAAGTTATAACGCTTTAAAACAATTGACTTGGCCTCGTTATACCTTTCTATTCCTGGATAGATTTTCCAATACGTTGGTTATCCAAGAGAGGCTTGGGTACATTGCCCATAGCGTTAGTTATATCTGGGAGGCCTGAGTACATAGCCTGTGGCGTTGGTTATAACTGGTACTCATAGGTACATTGGCCAAAGCGTTAGGTGCACTTGGGAGATATAGGTACATTACCCGCGACGGTGCTTATGCCTGGTACTCATGGGTACATTGCCGGTGGCATTGGTTATATCTGGGAACCTTGGGTACGATGCTCACGACGTTGGTTATACCTGGAAGGCTTGGGTAATTGCCCATGGCGTTGTTTACCCAATCCCAGTAGGTAACTTGGGCAGGTCATTGGTTATTGCCTGAGACCCGTTAGTACATTGCCCGTATAGTTAGTTTAACTGGGAGGCGTGGGTACTATACCAAAGGCGTTGGTTATCTCTGGGCACATTGGGTAGATCATTGGTTATAGCCTGCGCCTCGTTAGTACATTGGCCGAGGCGTTGGTTATAGTTATACACACGTTTAAATGCCCCGGCCATCATAAGCACCGTATTAGGTGATGGGATGTTTAAAATTATTTACTTTGTTTTCTTAATGGAACTTGTGGTCAACAATCACAGCACCTCGCGCTTTCAATTTGGGCCCGAAAATTGTTTATACAACAAATAAAATCTCCGCGCGCTCGCACTTGTCAATCAATAATAAATAATTAAATCATTAATCAGGTTCTTGTTTTAATTTTTGCTTACATACAAAATTTAATTAATATATCAATAATCAATTATGTTAATTTAATTAATTCAGTAATTTAATTTAAGTATTAGTATGGAATTCTTGTTTCAACAACAGATTATATTGTAATCAACCTTTCTTTAAATATCTTCTCTTTGAGATTAAAGTAATTCTTGTAATAATATTCCGTTCGTTGCTAAAAATATTACGAAATAATTTAAAACGTTTAAATAATTTTACTATTAATGGATTCATACCATAACCATCTTCTTATTAAAAGGTTTGCCAGGAATGTATGATTGATTCATTTTGAGTGTAAATAATACATAAAACATAAGACCGACTAAAGAAAAGACTTTCACTTCTTTCATTAGATTCTTTGATGAATTTCGTTCATTTCTCGTAAACTTTTTGCCAAATATTTTTGCCGACTCTTCGATATAGGACTCAACGAATGGCTTAATCTCATTGTCGTCGGGATAATAGATGTGGTCGTAATGACCAAACTCTTTGCCCCATTCGGAAAACACTGATCCAAAATCATAGCCTCTGTAGTCATAGCACGAGTACTCAAAATCACACACAACTAATCCGTCGTTTTCGGTGATCATAATATTAGATCCCCTGAAGTCTATGTGAGTGAAAGTCACCGGAGAATCAACGGCTGCCACAGTCTTCTTAAGCCAACTCAACTCTTCGGTCAATTCGTAATCACTTAATGTCTGACAATTGCATTCATTGATCAACGAATTGATGTCAAACAGACCCTTGGCTTCGTCCAAAAAGTTGTCCAAATTATCCATAAATGAGTTCCCATTCTTTCTGACGGCCACATCCATGGCGTGTATTTGAGCCAATGTTTTGGCCACTTGTGTCACTATTTGAGTGTTTTTATGATCGGCTTTACGAAAACATTTGTGCTTTGATTTTGTATAAAAAATGAATTATATTAATAAATATAACAATAAAATAAATATAATTTATACGGACCTTATAATAGGCCATAATCTGTCCGCTCTCGAAGAGGCCGTATATCTTGGGTCCCAACTTCTTTTCCGACATCATTAAAGCAATGATAACATCCGATAATCTCTCGTAACCGCCATTAGTGTCCTTTAAATGTTTTGCTTGATATAATCTTATGGCCACTTCTTGTGGCACTTTGTTATCACTACTTTTGTGTCCTTCATTGAAAGCGCAGTAATATAACTGATTGGTTAAACCGCCGCACAATCTCTTTACAAACACGTCATCAACGGTCAGATTAAGCCAAACGCCACCCAAATAGTCGCGACATAAGTCGAAGCACTTTTGCTTATAATCAGGAGGTGTCGAACCCCTCATCGCATTCTTTACCACAAATTTTGTACAGTTATTATCACTCTTTTCACTCATTTTTAAATTAGTTTGTTTTCATTGAGAAGTTAATGAATTATAAATTGACTGATGTACTCTATTCAATTATTATTTATATTATCAATAATATTTACAAAAGCTATTCCAATACTAAGGTCCTGATAGAATGGACCAATTAGAGAAAAGTAAAACATGTAACGTTCCTCACGGTCACGTCTGCATTACATTGACAAACAAACAGTCGTAATAAAATGAATGTCAGCGCATGTATAAAACTACATTTTTGGGCGGAATTAAGCTAGCTGTAACTCCCACTCTATTATTTTATTATTATTAATTTGTTTAACTAATTTAAATCATAACGAATTTTTAATAGTTTCTAAACTCAAGCTACTTTAGTAAATAATGTACTATATTAAAATGTTATAATAAATATCTACTACAAAAAAATATAAAATCATTCATTTTTATATTATTATATTAATTTAAAAATAATTAATGATTATTATATACATAGTTTGAACATTGTTTACAATATATTGTTTACAATAGTTCGTTTTATGGTTTATGAATAAAAACTATTTGAACAAGGATCACACAGCGATGCCATACCTTAATCACGATTCGGGCGATGTTTAAAAAATAGATAAGCATTAGTCCCATTCAGTTAGCATTGTCCATAGATTTAGCATTGCCATCGAAGGAGCCGAACGATCTTATAAACCACATTCATTATATATGAATCGTGGTTAAAAATAATATGTTGTAATTGTAAAATTATAAATATAATATTCTTAAATGTCACGATAATGTTATATTACTTGTTATAAAATTAATAGTCTATAAAAATGCAATAATGTTTAAAATAAATTAATTATTTCTAACTAATTAATCATTCTTTTAGATTATAGTTATAATCATATGTTGTAATATATACAAGTGATTTATTTTACACAGTTAATTTGGCCAATCTAATGTAAAGATCATACTTTATATTATCAATACTTTTACATACATTTTGGTTCATGTCTTAACATTAATTTTTAACAATTGTGACAATATTCCTTCAGATATTAGTGTCATTTTGCAGTACATTTAAATCAGAATTAATTATTTTAAACAATTCTTAATACAACTTAATGAGATTTAAATGTCAAGTAATATAAACTTTATTATATCTGTTGTTGCGCTATACTTAACGCAACTTTTTAAATAGTGATTAATTATTTATTTTTATATATATCTAGCGTTCTTCAAGGTTGTAACCTCAAGGCTAATAATTTATCTATACAGTGTAGGGGCCAATACAATATACAACGTATCTAGTACTGTATAGATAAATTATTAGCCTTGAGGTTACAACCTTGAAGAACGCTATTTATATCAGAGAAGTGAATTTTTTTATACCACCTATTTTTAGCGTTTAATAGTATTACACCCAGACTTGGGATGTGAACCGGTCATGTATTGGGGGTCAGTTTGCCGAAAGTTTATTTTGCTTAAATTTTCCTATTTGAGGCGTTTGTAATTATTTTAACTATTTCTTAAATTTGACTAATAATGTTCAAATAATGCCCAGAGTGCAACCGGGAATTATTGTTATAAATCGAAAGTACACTCTGTAGGAAGTATGGTGGTCTATTTTATTTGGCCAGACAAGCTCGGGTTTAGCCGCAGTGACCACTTTTATTGGGTAAAATTTGAATATCTTCTATTTTATGAATAAGTATGTCATATTTTATATCAATGGAAAGATATGGATGAGAGGAATAGAAATCTGAAGGAATTTCTCAAATCTGACATCATGTGTAAAAGTTATATCAAAATTAAGAAATTTTGTAACATTTATGCACGTTTTTTATAGAGATTAGCGTAATTACTGTACATTATTTATATCAATTTAAATTATGCTTACAATGATAATTAATTTCGCAAATTAAAAACAAATAAAACAAGAATCACACAGCGATGCTATACGTTAACCACTATTCGGGTGATGTTCAAAGAATAGATTAGCATTATCTACACATTCAATAATTTCCATAAGAGTCCATAGGATTAGCACTCCCCATAAACTTAACATTGTTCATAGTCCATAGGATTAGCATTAGTCTCATTAAGTTAGCATTATCCATGTTATTCCTATGCTATGTAATGTATATATAGTGTAGAAAAATCACTAACAAATCGATTGTATTATTTTGTAACTCGTATTTGAAATTCAAATGATATTTCTTAACACTAAAGAAGAGTTTATATTATTTTCGCACAAAAAAGTTTTCAAAAGAGGAATTATATTTTTTTGCTCGTCTTTTCATTACTCGTTTCGTTTACTAAATATATGACTGAATATTTAGATCTCAATTCAAATCCCATTTGAAACCAAACGCTTAATCTTTTTATTTTCTCTGTTCGGCGAATAACATGGGCTTAAATTGATTGCCATTTTCATCACTTCAATGTAAACCGAGAAGAGAGAGAGAGAGAGAGAGAGAGAGAGAGAGAATTGCAAATGAATTTCACTTTTTACTCAAATCTCTATTCAGTTGAACACAGATTTATCCCAACTTTAAATGCTATGTAATGTACATATATATAGTGTAGAAAAATCACTAACAAATCGATTGTATTATTTTGTAACTCGTATTTGAAATTCAAATGATATTTCTTAACACTAAAGAAGAGTTTATATTATTTTCGCACAAAAAAGTTTTCAAAAGAGGAATTATATTTTTTGCTCGTCTTTTCATTACTCGTTTCGTTCACTAAATATATGACTGAATATTTAGATTTCAATTCAAATCCCATTTGAAACCAAACGCTTAATCTTTTTATTTTCTCTGTTCGGCAAATAACATGGGCTTAAATTGATTGCCATTTTCATCACTTCAATGTAAACCGAGAAGAGAGAGAGAGAGAGAGAGAGAGAGAGAGAGAGAGACGAATTGCATGTGACACTTTTATGTTAATACAACACAACAATACAATTAATTCATTTCAATAATACAGTATATCTTATGTAAAAAAGATTTTTACGTTTAAATTGCATTTCCGACACCAAAGAGTGAGAGACAACAGACGTTATATTGTGGGACAAAACAATGGCATTAAATATCTACTCTTTTCAGACCTAAAATGCAAACACAAAACATGTTGTATTCAAATGTGTGCCCAAAAAACCTGTCAAATACAGTGAATATTGAAATAAATAGTTATGTTTTAAAAAACAATTTTGAAAGAAAAGAGTTTTTCGGTGATATTTATGTCCCAAATGAGAGTTAACTGTATGTATGGCTTGCGATATAGCGTGACGTCAAAAGTGGATAAGAATTAATCAAAACGTTTGACTCAAAAGAGAAGAAATTTCTACGAAAAAGTGATAAATTTTTGTTGCGAAAGAGAGAGTGAGAGAGAGAGTGAGTGAGAGAGAGAGAGAGAGAGAGAGAGAGAGAGATGACGGAAAGAGAAAGAGTTAAATTAATAGAAAATAAAGAAAAGTATAATTTATAGAAATATTTGTAATTATTTTATTGTAAATGAGAGCAAAAAACGCTAATAATTTTGTTGTTATAAATCAATTTCTTGGCCGAAGAGAGAGAGAAAAAGTGAGAGAGCGAGAGAGAGAGAGAGAGATCAAAAATATAGCTCATATACCAGTGAGTGAGTGGTTATGAAGGAGAGAGAGAGAGAGAGAATGAAAATATATATTCACTTTTTTATGTTCACCTCATCCTAAATAAAATATAACTAATGATCGCTTGAAAAGAGCCCTAAAATTCAATATAACTGTAATATCGGTAGAAAATATACAGTAATATATTGTTCGTGATCTGACAGAAAACCCCTTATAACCTATACATAGTATCTGAAGTGTAATATAAATTTTTTGTGCACAAATAAAATGAACATATTTTTCATATCAATTATTTAACATTTCTTTTATACTTTGCGATATCTATTCAATGAATGCAATCTTTTCGGTAAATAATATTAATATTGAATAAAATCTCAATTTTTAAATTTAATATTATATACAGAAAAAGTACTTTATTTGACATTTCATTCATTACGGAAGGAATGATATGAAAAATGAAAGTATTTTTCAAATTTTGCAAAATATATTAAATTGCATAGAATTTAGAGGTATTTTCCTTTTGCCGTACAATTTATATATGAATTTCAAGAATATTATATGCATTTCGTGTTTCATATCGTTTCTCTCTTTCCTTAAGTTAATAACCCTTTGCTGTGAATAACTTTCTTCTTATACTTATTATAATTAATAAATATATTTAAAACGAAAGAATGTTTTCTTAATATTATAAATGATTATTTCACTCGTCAGGTGTTTTGCTCTCTCTCTCTCTCTCTCTCTCTCTCTCTCTCTCACCTAAAAGTGGTCACAAAAGTCAGTAATACATACGAATGAATGAAAAGTTTTTGCACTGGTTTTCCATTTCTCACAAAAAGTGTTGGACTGGAAAAATCGTAATAAGTGTCGCACAGCCACTCACTACCACTCATAGGCACTGGCAGTTTGGGCACACTTTGGACATCGATTGATGGCTCTCATGGTATGGCTTTTCATGACTTGCCGATAGCCATACGCCTCACTTACCCCACCATATCATACATAACACACACCAAACCAATACTCACATTATGTAAGCCATCGAAACTCACTTATTGTCAAATAAAATACTGAAAATAAATGTTTTGCAATCGATTGCATAGAGTTTTAGCAAATATACAATTTTGCTCTCTTTATAAAACAAATGTATTGAAACCATTTTTTGGTTAGCATTTTGTCTGGAAATTAAATCACGAGAAAATTATTAGCAAACGTATGGCTCATTTGGACACAAATATTTCATATCAATAATCGATACAAAAGTGATTCATTTGAGCTCTAAATTTAAGTCTGTCGTGAAGTGAAGCGAGAGTCGAGTTAATCGGAAACAAACTTCTTCTTGTGGTCAACAATATTCTAGTTATGACTTCATTTGAAACCACATTTGGCTTTCCCTCTAATTTGATTCACACTATTTGTATCAACATTTCATATCATTTACTATATTATAACATATAATCAGTTAATATATTCTAAATTAGGATTGAATTGTAATATATTATTGAAGTTAATAATTATATAAATTTTATATTTGACGAAAATATGACAATATTTTGATTATTATATTGATTACAATATTTAAAAAACATATATAAATATACAATTCAATTAATTTATACATAACAAATAGAATATTTAATACTTTAAATGTATTTTCTGTCAAAATAGAAATTTGAATACAAAATACATAACATTTTTTAAAAATTTTAATAAATCAATAAAATAAAGAGAAAAGTTTTGTTTTGTCATTACAATCAATGTTTTACTACTCGCAGAGAAAATAATAAAATGAGTTATTTATAAAGAGCAGTGAACTAATTGTGAAATATTTAGATATCTATGCCATCAATATATGCTTACAATTGATGTCTGCATTTAAATCACATCAAACAAGAAGAATAAGAGAAAGCAATACTTATTTAATATAAATTACGAGAACATTGAGAAAATCAAATAAAGTTTTACAGACAAAAAACAAATGTAAATCTCATGTAATATATAAGTAAATGTATAATAAGTTAGAGAGACATATATAACAATCATTTGTAAGGGTTTTGCGATAAAACAAGTCTTGATTGTCATCGATGCGTAAAAAGCACTTATCGTTGTCATAAGCAGACAATTATTATCTCTGACGAGAATATAAAATTAATAAAATTGACATCTTTTTTGTTGCATTCATTTGTATGGCAACCCGTTATGTCGGCCGCGCGGAGCACAGCGTCCCCACACATTGCAATCCACAGCTCCGGCAACCCTTCCCTCCAGTCTCTGCTCTCTTAATGCAAACCAATAAACAGATATTAAAGAGCGAAAGATAACTATGAAATATATATTCATATAAAGTCTATATTGAAATTGTGATGCGATGTCGGGCTAAGTAATC